TGTGTGTGTGTGTGTGTGTGTGTGTGTGTGTGTGTGTGTGTGTGTGTCTGGTCCCTCACAGAGCCAGGGACACCCCACCCCTCTGCAAACCTCACCTTCCCCATCAGCACAGGACTGGGGAGCAGAGTGATTACGAGCCTTCCCGGGGCTCTCAGGTGGGCTGGGTCTCAGGAGTCAGGTGAGAGCACTGTGTCCCGGTGGGGCCCAGAACAAGCAGGGGAAAAGATGTCAAGGATCAGGACCTGGACACCCTCCTTCGGGGCACCCACAGGTTAACATGCTAATGTGCTCCCTCCAGAGAAAGCTGGCTCCCACATCAGGCCCTCTGGCTTCTGCCAAGGATCTGGGAGTAGGTGTTGGTGTCCCAGACATATCCATTTTGACACAGAGGGAGGCACGGTGCAGTCATGGTGTTGACCCAGGTGCGCAGTACATGGGCAGTAGTACATGGGCAGTAGCAGGGACGGACAGGCTCCAGTGCAGGCTTGCCACCCACCCCAACCCTGGTCCATTCACAAGGCATGACTGCCCTCTGGGGAGGGGCCCCGTGGGGGCGGCAGGCAGAGCATGGCCGTCTCCTGAGGGCTCCCTCTGCCCCCAGGCTCAGAGCGGGACCACCCTAGGGAAACGTTCATCTCTCCTGTGGTCTCCTTGTCGGAACCCCTTCAAGGTCACCGCTCCACAGCGCTCCAAGTGCTTCCTCGTATCCAGCCTTAGTCAGTCCTCATGTTGCACTTGATTCATTTATCAGAGGACAAGTTGAGGGCCCCATTATCCTGCCACCCAGCGTGACATCACCGAGCTTCCCTCAGGCATGTTCCCTCCCTGGGACTGCCCAGCCGGCACAGGAAATGGCTGCTGGATGAATGTGCAAGTGAGTAAGTGTCTTGGATCCTCCTCCCATGTGAACACTAAGCGGCCAAGGAGTGGACCAGATCCCCGGGGCCCAGGCTGAAAGGAGGCAGAAACAGGGACCAAGGAGGCAAAGAATCTCAGGAGAGCAACAGGACTGGGGGACAGAGATAAAGCAGGTGCACCCCCAGGGAGCCAAGTGTCCAGGAGCTCAGGATGGCTGCACTGAGGGCCTCAGGCACGGATGGCCTGGAGCAAGCAGGGCCTGAGGAGGAGAGTATGGTAGAAATGGGGTGGGATAGGAGGAGCTCAGGACGCAGGGCCACGAGATGGGAGCCCGAAACCTGGGGGTGGGGGACCGCAGTCCTGTAAGTGTGGCCCAGCCCAAGGTCACAGAGCAAGGACCCAGAGCCTCGGCCACTCAGCCATGACCTGGCCGTCTGTTCCCCCGAAGGGAACCTTAGCCAGGCCCAGTGCTGAGGTAGGAATTTCTACAGGTAAGGAGGACACAGACGGTCAGAGAGACCTCTGGCCCCAGAGTGCACAGGGGTAAGTGGCGGGGCTGGCCCTCTTCAGGCACTCCCAGTCCTCAGTCTGAAGAGCCGGCTCAGGAGGTGGCTACTGCTCCCCCACCCCGTCCTGTGCTTGGGCACGCTGGCACTACCAGGCACTTACTTGGTTTGTCGAGGGCCCAGCCCCCAGCCCAGCACCCGCGGGCTTCCCCAGGCCTGGGCAAGGGCAGCAAGAGGGAACAAAGGCCCAGTCTCTGCCTGCTCAGGCCCCCACCCCCTTGCCTGCCCCTGGCACAGAAGGAACAGGGCCCTGAGGGAGCCCAGGAGCAACAGCAGCACCACCCCTTGTCGAGGATGCAGCGAGAAGCCCCCTCCCACCCACACAGGCCTGCTGGCTGAGCAGCAGGGTTCTTCCCAGCTCCAGATAGGAGTGTTCGGGGGGAGAGCTGAGGGACTGCAGCCACACAGCTGGAATTTGCACCCAGGCCCCACAGCAGGCAGAACCTGCCCTCTACCCCTCACCACAGGCTGTGCATGATGGTTGTGACTGTGTTCTGGTACAGAGGAACTGAAGAACAGAGATGAGGGAGAGAAGAGGAGAGCCTGGGCACCCCAACAGGGCAAGTCCCAGGCTGAGCCACCCTCACCCTCCCGGCCCTACCCACCTACCTTTCACCTGGGTCCAGCTCAGTGCTGATCACGCGGTTTGCTGAAGGGATAGAGTCGGGGAATGTCAGAAGTGGGGAAACTAAGTCAGCTTCCAGGCCTCTTAAGTCCTTGACGGGGGTTCACCTGATCCAGCCAGAGGCAAGGGAGACCTAAGCCACTCTGGAGCCTCCATTTCCTGATCTGTAACTCGGGGCTTGTTGCCCACTGGGGGCCTCACTTCCCCAGACTGTGGCCCCAATCCTTCTCCAGACCTCCTCCCTGCTCTAGCCCAGGGCCTTGCTTAGACCCTACCCCCAGGGGAGCCTGGACGGAGGCTGATGCCCACCCTCCCCTGTACACACCTGATTCCTCCCTGTGAACCCAGGTCAACAATGTGCTCGTCATGCCACAAAGCTGAACAGCACTCAGGAACCAGGTGCAATCGGCCCTAAGGGACCTGTCCAAGGCCACCCAGCCCTTAAGCAGCAAAGAAGGGCTGACCTGCTCACTGCCCACTGACATCCCAGGACCTGCAGGGGCAGGGTTAAATGCACATTCTCCTCTCTCATCCACACAGCAGCAAGAGAAAAGGTTAGGGTTCTAGGGGCTGCAACCTGGGCAATGCCTAAGCAGATAGCCTTGGACAATGAAGGGCGAGTCAGGGCTCAGTTGTGTGAACTTGGTCCATACAACCTCTCCAAGCCTTGATTTCAGCAGAAGCCCACAGAGAAAGCCCTGATGCCTCTGCCTGCCAGTGCCTAAGAGCTGGGGAAATGCCACCTGCCCCAGCTTCATCCAGAAACTTTGGCTGCTCCCTCCCATCTGCAGGGCACCTTGATTAGTCTAAGCAAGTGCCCAGCAGACCCGAAGCAGAACCAGGCCAATGCATCACAGAGCAGGCACTAGGACGCCGGTGGACAGATTCCTTCACCTCCTTCCCAGGCCCCAAGCCCTTATCAGACACGACTCATTTTAAAGAAAAAATAATATTTATTTGCAATATAAACAAAGTCCCGTTGTTGGTTCGGGATATATATATGTATGTGTGTGTATATATATATGTAGGGTCACAAATCTTCCTTCATAAGATCATAAAGCAAAACTGGCCACCTTCTGGCATACCCTCATTTATACAAATCTGGTGCATCTTTCTGGGTTTTCTTTTTAAAAATAAAAGAGAGAAAAAGAGAACCATGTACAGCATGGAAGCTTGTTGTCAATTTCTCGACTGTGGCAAGATTTTAATCTGCTGCCTTAAGAATCCCTGAAAACCACCCCTGTGAGGTAAGAAGCAGTGGGGCAGAGTTTTCTGTGGCCTCACTCACATGCTGAGTGCTGCTCCGTCAGGGACCCTGGCCCGACCCCTCTCCCTGCCCTAGGCCCTCATGCAGTCCTGACACCTGGTGAAACTGAGGCTGGAGAAGGAACAAAACTGGAGGAAGATAACGGAATCCGTGGCTTTGTTCTGTGGAGGCAGGGGGAAGTGAACAGAGCCTCACCCCCCTTCTGCTGGTCCACTCTTGCCCCACTTGCCCCTGCCCTAGGGTTGAAATGGGTGCAAGTCTCCTGGCAGTAGAAGGCATGGGCAAGATGAGGGCAGGGCAAGCTTCCAAGGGGACAAGGGGGCTGCCAGTGGCAGCCAGACCAAAGCGACAGGTAGGGAGAGGGAAGAACCTGGAGGTAGGGCTGGGTCTCACCACCTAAGCTCTCCCCAGCCACTGGGCCTCCACTCCCAGTTACAAGAGAGAGGAGAGGGAGAGGGAGAGAGAGAAACAGACAGACAGAAGTAGTGGCTAAGTATATAAAAGGGCTCAGAGCCCAGGCCCTCCTAGGGGCTGAGCCCAGAGGGCTAATGCTACTGCCTGGCAGTCCCCTGCGGCCCACCTTCTGCGGGACAGCGGCAGGGACCCGGGTTCCCCACCTTCTGCCTCAGGGAGGTCTGCAGGGACCAGCAGAGGGATGGATGAGAGGGCAGAAAATGCAAAGCCCACCATCCAGCCCACCAACCACAACTTGCAGCAGTCATCACAGGCGAGTGCAGGGCCAAGTCAGACCGGGCCAAGGGTGGGAGGCGGCACGACTGGGGGTCCCAATACCTGAAGAGCAGTAAGCCACCCCTTCAAGAAGGGCCCGCCGAGGAAATGGAGGCTTCACACATGTGCAAAACGCATTTGGTCAAGGTCAACATGGGGTCTGTCTTTTCCATTAAAAAACAAAAACAAACACAATACTTGCTTTTTGAAATTGAACGAAAAACAAAACTGATAACATTTCTCTCTCTCGCAGGATCAGGAAAGGGATGAAATACTGGGTTATACAATCCACTGTTGCATGTAGCCTGAAAATAACACTTTTTGTTAAAAAAAAAAAAAAAAAAAAAATCAAGAAGAGCTCAAACACTCTTTGTGCTCCAGGGAGCTTGGATTTACCTGCCAAAAGTAAAAAGTAAACTCAGGTCCGTGGATGTGTCTTTAAAAAATAGCCAAACTGGCTGGGCCATCAGCAGAAAGGAGCGTCCTGGACAGGATGAGGCCCTGGTGGATGCCCAAAGCCACGTGTCCGAGAGCCGAGGCCTCTCCAGCAAGCCCTGCAGAGGGAGACCTTGCCTGCGGGCCCCGCCCCCAAGGATGGTGAGGGGCGCTCCGACACTGAGCAGCCTGGGTCTCTGGGCACAGGCGACATCTGGGGGTTCCTCAGGCCAGAGGTGGCAGGCTTGGGCTCTCCCACCTAGCCTTGTGGAGAGCCGAGCAGGGGCCTGGTGCCATGCCCCCCGTGCACCAGGCCTCACGTGGACTCCAGCGTATTGAGTGGGAACAGGTTGTGGTTGGTGGGTGTGGAAAAGTAGAGCTGCTCACTCGGTGCATGGTTGTCGCACGGGCTGCTTAGCCCCAGCGTCCGCTCAAAGTCCAGCAGCTGCCCCATGAAGTTGAAGTTGGGCGAGATGTTGGACTTTTTTCTCTTGACAAAGTCATAGGCGTCGTTGAGTGACAGGTTCATCTTCTGCATCAGATAGGCCACAGTGACCGTCACTGAGCGGCTGATGCCTGCCAGGCAGTGCACTAGGACACCACACTTCTTGGAGCGGGCTTCATCTGAAACACATCGACATGGGTCAGGGAGGTGCCTCCTTCAAGGAGCCTTCCCACATGGGTGGCCAAGTTGGGCTGGGACACAGAGGGCAGCATGGCCGCTGGCTGGTCTTGCCCGACCCCTGAGGGACCTGGCCAAGCCCAGTGTGGGTAGGGCAGCAACTTGGAATAGAGGTCAACAGCACTGCTGTGGAGAGGGCTCTGCACACTTTAGCCCCAAGGCACTGGACACCCGTGTCTCAATTTCCTCATCTATAAAATGGGCCTATTTATGTACAGTGGTCTCATAAGGACCTGTGAGGGGTCAAGAAACATGAACTACTGTAACGCCTGTGACCATGGCTAGTTCTACCACTGCCATATGCATTGTGACTGCCTCACGGGCATCACCTGCATCCTCTTGGGTCATCGGCACCATGGCCAGTGAGCCCATTTTATCAACGAGGAAGCAGACAGAGACAAACTGGCAAGCCCAAGGCCACACAGAGGCTCCTCCTAGCTCAGCACCCGCTGCTGCCAGGCCGTGGCCTGGGACTGGGGGCTGGGCTGGTTCTCTTGGAGCTGCTCCCATGGGTTTTCCTCGAGAGTCTCCCAGGAAAGTGGCCTGAGGGAGGCTCCTCTGGAAGGAAGGAAGTGGCCTGGCCCTGCACTTCGCTCTGCCCTCTGCCCAGCTAGTCCCCAAGGCCTTAACTCCAGCTCCTAAGACACAAGGACTGCGATGCTGGCCACACTATCACTTGTGATGGGGCTTCATAAGTGAGGCGTGCTTAAATGGGCCCCACCCCCGCCACTTGCTAGACCTTCCGCAGAGGCCCATGTGCCAGTGATATCTCCTACCACAGCCGACTGGATGCGGCCAACCTTCCTGTCCCCTTTCCCCTCCAACCCTCCCAGCTTCCCCCAGTGCCACCCTCAGACTCCTCTGCCTGACACATAGAAGCTCAATAAATACTGGCTGAGCTACTGAACAACTCAGTCTTGTAATCTCTCCTGGACCCTGGGGCAGCTGCCTCTCTGTGTGCCACAGCTGTGCCAGGGACATAGATTCACAAGAGGCAGCCATGGGGTCCTTGATGTCCCCACCACCCTGACTCTGAACCCTCCGGGAGCCAGGCACACAGCTAGCACTCAATCAATGCCTTCCTACAAGACGACACATGGGTTCACCCACTGTTCTTCATTGCCTTTGTCCTGGCAAAGCTTCCTCTCTCGTCCCCGCCCAACCAAGGGTACCAAGGATTAAGCATACAGTAGGTGCTTCCTCCAGACTCAGGGACTGACAGGGGGCCCCATGGCTAAGGCACTGGGGCAGGATCATCTGTCGAGGAGACAGACATTGTGGCTTCATGTGGAGCTATGTGGTCTGACCTCGAGATTAGGGGTGGGAGAAGTGTGTGCTGGGATGAGCCTCCAGCGGTGACACCAGGATGTGAGGAACGCCTGGCCCCCAAACCCACCTCCAGGTGATCCAAAGAGAGTCTGTTTCTGCTGGCTTTATTTTTGGCCTTTTCAGGGTGTAGCTGGTGACTGATCCTGTCCCACTGACTCCTAAGGGATGCCTGGGCCTCAATTCCTTCACTTGTCAAATGAGGAAAAAGGTCCCCCTACCCAGATGGGGAGGAGCTTTCAGGAACGATAAAGGCACCCATTAGCCAGGCCCAGCCTGGCAAAGCCTGCTTTCCTCTCTCTTTCCCCCTCCCTCGTTGGGGGAGTTCAAATGCTGAGGCAGCACCCATAGCCCTCTTGGCCCCCAGGGTGGGGGGCAGGGCTGAGAAGCTCCAGGCAGCCCCAGTTGCAGCCCCTCCCCCAGGCCTCAGCTTCCTTCCTTCCTCCCAGCCAGGCACCTACTTTTGGTTCCCAGTAAGCGGATGAGGCGGGGAAGCCTCCCACTTCCTGTTGTTAAAGCTAGCCCAACCCAGCTGACACCAAAACGCCCTCCACTGGACACAGCCACCATAGGGAAAAGACGGCCCAGGCCACCCCCACACCTTGCCACTGGAGGCTGGGCAGAAACATTGGGTCACCAGGCTCAGAGATAGAGCGTTTACATTCATCCTGAGCCCCCGTGCCCCTTCCCTGCACCCTGGGCCAGGGGAGATGACCTTCGGTCTCACAGCCTCCAGTTGGCCAAAGAGTAAAGCCAGCAGGGGACCCGAGTCTGCTGAGGCTGGGGATACAGGGACTCAAAGGGCACTAAGCCAGACGGCAGGACACACTGCTCTGGGGAAGGCCTTTCTCCACTCCCCCACCTTCTCTTACACTCCTCCCTACACTCCAAGCGAGCCCTACATGCTGCAGAGAGCATCTGGAGCCTGACCGAGCTAGCGGTCACCACATTTCAATAGCTGCCTGTTTGGGGTGTGCCTCTGGCTCCAGGGAGGGCTACCTTTCAGCCCTCTTAAGTACACATTAAAGCCCAAAGAGGCAATATGACAACCCCATCCTGGAGAGACACGTGTGCTGAGGCGTGATGTGGAGCAAGTGAGACCCGTGGGAGGTCTGCGCGCTGTGATGTTTCAGCTTGCTAAGCCCGAAACAACATCTAAGCCAGGAAAACACGAGCTGGACAGCAGAGAGCCCATGAGGTGCTGCCAGCTAGGGGGAGCTCAGGGCTCAGGAGACTGCTCAGGCCCCAACAGGTATAGGGGCACAAGGGACTCGGTGACTCACAGTAGGCATGGGTACACCCAGGGGCACACGCTGGCACACGCAGGGCACACACAGGTCTCAACAGGCCCAGAGGTACCCAGTCAGGTGGGGGCGCCACCCAGAGTCCTGCATACACCTTGACACGCCCACCCCCCCTGCCCAGCACACAGAACCTACCAATGAAGCTGATGGCCTCAGGGAAGAACTGGGAGAGGTTCTGGCTCCAGTGGTCAGAGATGGGGATCTGCTTGTAGGTGAACTCGCCGCCGTGCTCAAAGGCATTGGGTAGGTTGGGTGTGACGTTGAGGATATACTTGATGCCGTACTTGCCGAGCACGTCCAGGTTGGTGGAGTCCTTGGCGCAGCCGAGGTAGAGGTAGGGCAGGATCTGGACAGGGAAGGCTGGTTGGCTGGATGGCACAGGGCTGCCGTCCGACTCGGTGGCACTGCTGGGCAGCTCTCTGTCCGACTCGCCGTCGGAGCAGTCAGAGCTGATGCGCAGGCCCCCCAGGCCCAGCACTGAGGTGGGTGGCGAGCTGCTCGGTGAGGAAGAGCTGTCCACGTTGGTCTCGCAGTGCTCAGAGTACTCTGTCTGAAACTTGTTGAAACCACCTGTGTCCGGAGTGAGACAGGGCCTGGGTGAGAGGCTGGTGAGAGCCCAGATGGGCTGCACAACCCAGATGGGCTGACCAGAGATGGCCAGGACTCCCCACGCCAAACACCACGACACCGACGGCCAGCATGGGCCATGCCAAGCATCTTACACGTGTGCCCTCTCTTGTGTTCTCTCCATCTAAACCATGACCACTTCACAGACAAGGAAACTGAGACCCCAGGAGGTGAAGTGACATGCCTGGACTCCAAACTGGTACCCATAACACTTCAGGGCCCCCAGCCATGCCACCAGCTTTAGGGCACTTGAGGACAGGCCCCAGCTAATTCCTCTTCTGCAGCTCCCACGCACACCTAGCATCCATGGGTGTTCAGTAACAGCTAAGTGGTAAAGAAAAGCAGACAACCCCATTTAGCCAGCACCTCTGGGTTGGCAAACTCCTCTTATAGATGAGACCACAGGTGCCAGAGCCACATCTGGCTCAGATAAGAGGCAGAGAGGTCCTGGGCTTCCTGAATGGGAGTCTAGTGGTTGCCCAGCCCCAAAACTACAGCTGGGGAGGGTAGTGGGAAGGTACTGGCTGGCCCCTTCCCCCAGGAGGGGCAGGTTTTTGAAGGGGGTCCTGGCTCCACTTCTCTAGAATCCTCCCTTAGAACACAAGCCTCCCCAGCCTTGGACCTGCATCGGGGGAGGGCCACTGGGGCAATACAGGGACAGGAGAAATGGGGAGCCCCTTGCAGTGAGGCATGGGCCCTGCGCCCGAGGGTGCCGCAGGCCTCCCCTCCCCTCCCGCCCGCCCCGCTGCCAGCAAGAGGCCATTTTGGAATGTTAATTGGAAACACCGGCCTCAGCCACTCGCCCCCCGGTGCTGCCTCTCCCTTCTGCAAGCTCTGTGGCATCAGGCTAGGGACCTGGGGGTCCCGAGAGACCCGGGCCAGGGCAACGGTCCCTGCCCATACCCTGCCCCAAGCGCCTCCTAGAGGCAGCAATTCTCCGGTGGAAGGCGCAATTCCCGGATCCAGGAGACCCCAACCCAAATGGTCTCCATGCGCTGGAGATGAGGATGGTGCTATGAAAGGTGCCTTCCTGATCCTGGCCTTCCAGAAACACGAATTCCAGGCTGGACTCGGGCGCCCTGCTGCTTTTAGAGTTCTGGGAGGCAGCGCCTTCCACCTCTAAGGGGCTCCACCGGTGCCTAGGCACTACTGTCGCCCCATCAACAGGAAAAAAAGGAAACCCCAGGCATGGGAAAGTTTGTTCCACCCACTCGAATCGTGCCGAGAAAGGGGGCGCAGAGGGAGCCCCGCGCCTGCCAAACCACACGGTGGGGACCTGACTCCAGGAGGGCGGATGCAGGCCGGGGACGACGTGGCGCCCAGCGGGGCAGGCCGAGCGCGTGGAGAGGAAAGCGCCTCCAAGGGGGGCGTCAGGGAGTCGCGGGGGGCCCCGATCCCGTAAGGCGTCTCGGTTCTGCCCTCACCTTGGAGGTAGTAGGCCTGGCAGCCGTCGTCGCGCAGCTTCTGTAGGAGCAGGCCGAGCACGGAGGCGGGAGCGCCGGGCTCGGGCTGCCACTCGGCCGTGGCCTCGTCATAGAGCAGCACAGTGGCCGCCTTGCAGCGCGTGGCGAAGCGCTCCTTGTCGGCGTGGTTGGGGATGATGGAGCGGATGGGCAGGTTGCCCTTGCGCAGGCGGCGCAACATGAGGCCTGGGATGGCCAGGTTGATGGCCGTCTCGATGTGCGACGACTCGAAGAGCTCGTGCGGCCGGCAGTCGAGCAGCAGCAGGGACGCGCCGCCGCGCACCTCCAGCTCCTCCTGCAGCCACTCGGCGCTCTTGCAGGGCATGGCCCCTGCTCCCGTCGCCGCGCCCGCCCCGGTGCCTGCGCCGGACCCCGACCCCGCACCGGGCTCGGACCCCGCCCGGGTGCCCCCAGCCGCCGCCGCCCCCGAAGTCGACATGTGCGCCCGCGCTGGGGGGCCGCGGAGCTGGTTTTTCATGGGGACCGCGGGCGGCCCGGGGCCGGGGCCGGGGCCGGGCAGCCCTGCCCTGGGACGTCGCCCCGGCCGCGCGGGCCCCAGCCGCGTCTCCGGGCGCCCGCCTCCCGCCGAGCTGCGCGCCCGCCGCCCCGGCCTCCTGGCCTCCCGGCCTCCGTCCCGCCCGCCCGGCCCTCCGCGCGCACCGCGGCCTGACAGCCCCAATTAAACAGCGGCTCCGGCGGCCGCGCGCCGAGGCGTTCTCCAGAAGGCGGGGCCGCGGGGGCCGGCGCCCGGGCTTAAAGGCGCAGCGCCTCCACCGCCCCTCCCCACGGGGTACGCGGGCGCGCTCGCGACCCGAGCCCCGGAGACCAGCGGTCGGGCCCTCCCCGGCCGCCTCCGCACCGTCGCCCCCTGGACTAGCCCGGAGCTGACTGCGATGCGCCTAGGGGCCCCGGTCCAGACGCCCTCACGGGTTCACTCTGCGCGTGCTCCCAAGCTCTTCTGGACATTACGGGAAGAGCGGCCCTGGGGGCGTCCTATGCCTGGCACCCCCACCCCACATTCACAAGAGCATAGTTTTTCTGGGACGGGGCGTGGTGGGCGGGGGTGGTGGTCAAGCTGAGCAACCTCTCCTCCTCCCGCCTGTTATCCCATTCATTCTTTTTGTCATCGAGTTCATTCAACAAGTGGGAATTGAACGCCTACTACGTGCCAGGCACTGTGCTAGGCAGTCACCGTTTCGGGGGACCTCATCGTTTTCCTGACGATCACAGGCTCCAGACCTGAGGGGGAGCGTCTCACGCCAGCAGGCCTGATGGGAAATCAGGACCTGGGCAACTGGCGGGGTAGGAAGACTCAGGGCCGTGCCACCTTCCGTGGGCAGGGGTGGAGAAATCCTGGAAAGGAACAGCTCTGGGAAGGGAACGCGAGCCCTTTAAGAAAGCTTTACAAGCGGGGTGGTGACAGGCGCCCAATGAAGCGCCACGTGACTTTTTCCACGGGGCCGGTGGGAGTGGAATGCTCCTTTATAATCAGCCTGCCTTCCCCAGCCTCCCTCTCAATGGACCAATCAACTTCCGCGGTAGGTGGGCGCCTGCCATTCAGAGGGCCAATCCTGGCCGAAAGAGGCGGTGGCGGAGGGAGGCGGGGCCCGCCGCGGTTTCCACCCAGCGCGGAGAAGTGGGCGGGGACTCCGCCAGCGCTGTGTGTCGATTTGCAGGCAGGCGGGGCAGCGGAGGTGAATGGACCCCGCAGGTAGCTCTAGAACAAAGCGGCTCGACTTGGGCGGCGCGCTTGCGCAGGACCTGCAGTACTTTCCCTACGGAGCCAGGATAGGAGCTCTAGGCTGGGCCCTGCTGTCTGTCTGGTCCATTCTTTTGCCTGGCGGGGTGCCCCTCCTTGGGGCTTAAACGCCCCGACTCCTCCCAAGGCTGGTCGGCTCTGAGACACCTTGCCCCCATCCCTGACTGTGGGGAGCGGTGGTGCTTGAGGGAGGGCCTCTGGAACCCCGAGGATTTGAGCTTTCCGCTAACCTCTGACCAGAAGGCACGCAAAGGGGTGGCTCAGGAGCAGTCCCTGTCCGTCTTTCAAGCGAGGGATAGTCTTTCTGAAGGGTTTCATCCTGGGCCACAGGGCTGTGTCCCAGAGGAGCAGGGGTCTCTCCCACAATCACACTCTCAGAGTGTGAAAGGAGAAGCAACTCTCCGCCCAAGGTTGTCCTGGGGGTCCCAGGCCTTTGGAAAGAGCTTCCAGGGCCCAAGAGGGCAAGACTCAGATTCTGTCCTGCCACTTGCAGGTGTATCGTGTGACCTGAGTACGGTTCTTCCCTCTGGGCCTCGGTTTTCTCAGTGTAGGAGAGTGCTAGTGTGGACAGAGCCCAAGCCATCTATGAATGCATCCGACTGGGAGGACATGGTCTGCAGCCAGGCCTCTTGACTGGCAGGCTGGATGCTGCTTATCAGGGATGGAGGCAGCACTCAAAAAAGAGGCCTGAGCAAACTCCCAGGGAAGGGTGAGCTGCTGAGCAGTGCACCATTCACTCAGCAAGCTTTGCTGAGGGCCTCCTGAGCACCAGCCTACCTGGAGCTGGAGTGACAACAGTGGAGCCTCCGTCCTCCACTCAGGCCTGGCTGCCTCTCCCCTCTGCTCCACCACGGGGTTGGATGCCGGTCTGGGCACTCCCCCAGGCCTACCACAGGATGCACAGAGACTCCTCTTTCTCTAGGGAAGAGACTGGTCTTGGTGTTCTCTCCCCAGACGGGTCCATGGTAGCTCAAGAAGGTGTCAACTGCCCAATAAGTCAGGGTGACATCCCTGAGGGGCAGGCCAGAGTCACATCAACAGGAGGCTCATGCTGTCCTCAAGTGAGACTGGGCGCATGTCCCACGGCACTGAGGCACACTTAGTTCTGAGTGCCTGGTGAGGAATGGGCCATTGCTCTCACTAGCGAGGGAACAGCTGAAATGGGAGCCTCCTCTGAGCCTCCCCAGATCCCACTACCCACACGAGAGGAAGAACTACCCTGGAGAGAGGAAAGGGGCCCCGCCATCCCTCGCATTAGCTTGCAATGACTCCTGTCTCTCTCCCTTTAGACTTCTCTAGCGGGGCGTACACCCTGGAGGAGAGATCTGTGAGAATGTGTGGAATTGGAAAAGCTCCCGCAGCAGGAGGAGAGGGCGTCCTCTAACAGGGAGGTAAAGAGAGACAGATTTGGATGAGTTCAGGAGAAGGGGGAGCATGTGGAGAGGGGGTGACAGTGGAAGCAAAGGGTTGGCAGGAAAATTAACCAGCCCCTGAGGTGCCAGCAGGACCCTGGGTCCCCACTGGGCAGGTTGGAGGAGGTTGGAGGAAAGGCCCTAAGTCTTGGTTCTCACTAGGCGGAAGAACCCTCAATCCCAGACTTACAAGGCCCAGAGCAGGGGAGGAACTCGCCTGTGGTCACATGGCAAGAGACCAGAGCTGTCCCTGTCCGGGGCCTTGCCTGGCAACTGTGGGCTTCCCTCAAGGGAGAGGGTCTTTTTTGGCAGGAACCAGGTGCCCTGGGTGATTCCAAGGCCTTGGAATCATTCTTCCTCTTTAGAAATGTGGTCTTTCCTGCCAAAGGGTTCAGGCCTTCCCTCACCTGCAGCTCCCACAAGGGGTGTCCAGCTCACTAAGGTCTCCCTGAGGGGCAGGGTGGGGGAGTGGGAAAGAGGCTGCCGGGAAAGGTCTGTCCTTGGGGATGATCTGGTTTCAGGAGGGGGAGAGGAAGTGCAGGTGGGACATGCTTAAACTCTCTGAAGACTGTCTCTCCTTCCCACACAGCCCCAGGCCTTGGCATAGGTATTTCCCCTGCCTGGACAGTTTTCACCCTCAGCCTTTGCCTGCCTTCGGATCCCAGCTCAGAGTCTCTGAGCACAGGGGCCTCCTCGGATCATCCAGGCCCAGATTAGCTTCCCTGCTGCGTGCTCCAAGGACCCCTGTCCCCTCCTCACCCCATCTTTGCTCTACACCCTATCATAGTCACTGTCCACCACCCACCACCATCTACCACCACACTACACTTGTCACCTGGAACGCCCAGGGGCAAGTCTGCCCTGCCTCAAACCTGCTCCTCCTCCTGCCATCCCTTCTCATCGCATTCAGCCAACTGCCAGGCATGAACCCACGAGGCACATCTGGAGCTGCCTTCCCTGTCTGCACACATCCAGCCTCAGAACCACACAGAGAAGGGGCCTTCCTGGCAGCACAAGGCCTCGCCGTGGTGGCATGTTTCATGGCCCTTTGCTATTCCTCTGGGAGGAGCTGAAGGTCCCTAAGAGCAGATGTGAGCTAGTGTGCACCCCTTTCCCCCCAACACACACATTCATGTGACTGGGTGATCAAGGAACTGTGTCATCAGGAACAGTTCAAGTGCCTGAGAAACAGATTTACCTTTTCCCACTAGTGCCCATGGATTTCTTGCAAACGGGCCACCACGCTTCTAATGGACAGGCTGAAGCAAGGGGAGGGTCAGCTTCTTGCCCTCCTGGCCCTAAGGAGGCTGGCACAGATCTAAGCTAAGGAGGTGGCTTTCTATTATGGGTCTGTCTCACATCCCACTGTAAGGGATGAGCAAGGGCTGAGCAGGGGCCGGGCACTCCAGTCTGTGGTGCCTGTTGCTGGAGAGTAAGCCAGCTTCTGCCCAGAGCAGCCCCACTAGGCTGGAGAGGTGCTCCGATGGAGGCCTGCTGAGACCTAGACTTGCTCTGCTTGCCCTTGAACTTTGGGACAGCTTCTTCCCCAACCCTTGGTGGGGTGCCTGCCTGGGCCAGTGTTCAGCAGCATCTAAGCCAGGCCAGGAGAGGACTGTGAAGGGATGGCAACTCTTCTGCCCTGTACAGAACTCCTGGCTGCACACATACACATATACATATAAGGATACACACAACACAGGCACCAACACACATAGTCCTATCCATATAACCACATATGCTCATGGGCACATAAGTGTATGTACAGAAATACACAGATACAGACCTATACGTGTCTGCGGAAATACATAATACACGTGCACACACACTCTGTTGTATGTGGACACACACCTATCCAGACCCACATCTGGGTGCTCGCGACTCCTATTGGGGGGATGCCCACAGACATGTCCTCCAGAGGGGCGGTTACCAGGCTGGCGGGATCCATGCTCCTCTTCCCCTGCCCTCTAGTCACCTAGGCTCACATTGTCCCATTGGCTGTTGCTGGTATCTCCGTAGCAACAGGTTCTGGATGGAACCAGAGTCCACCCCTGCCTTTCCAGCGGGGGCCTGTGAGGCCCTAGGTAATGGCAGTATAGTGTGGGAAAGCTGGGACAGCTCTGGGGTGGGGGAGCCATGTGCCTATTTATCTGCGCCCTCTCCTGCCCAGGTGTGCAGGGCAGACCTGGTGAGAGTGCAGGGCCTGGGGGAGCAAGTAGCCCTGGCAGAAAAGTGGGTCACGCCCAGGATGCTTAGAGCACTAGACATGGCAGGACGGAAGCAAGGGCCTGGGAGATCTGTGGGGAATTCCCAAGGCTGCTTAGAGAAGGCAAAGGGAAGAGGGAGGAGAGAGCCTGGCCAAAAGGGAAGCCTCCCTGTTCATTCTCAGACATGTTCTCTGTACCTGCCCCATACCAGGGAGTGTGCAGAACAGTGAAGGGGGGACTCGGATGACACAGACCAACATAATTCCTCTCTCTCAGAGCTCCCCACCCAGCAGTGACAGAG